ACCGCCCAGTGTGGAGCCCCTCCCCTCAACTTTCCTGCCACGACTTGATGTTATTATATAAAGAGAGAGGGTTCAGTGGAGATCTTCTTCCTGGGTGGACTCCCCGGGGGACGGCCGTACTCACGGTTTGGGGTGCGATGTTCCACAGGGCTCCACCTCCCCTCCACCTCCCCTCCACCTCATCCACTTGCCAACCAGATGGGCATCAGCAAATGGTGATTCAGTTGTGCTGGCTCAACCATGGCTTGCCTCGAGGGGGACCCCATGTCCGGGTGAGCTCTGTTGGTACTTGTCCAGCTGCCCCTTCTGCTTCGATGAGTAGCCTTCCCTCCCTAGAGACTGGCAAGCTATGTGTGTGTAAGCTGGCACCTACCTCAGTGCTTCTGAGTAGGGCACTTAGCTCTTACGCCTCTTCTTTCTCTCTCTCTTTTTTTTTTTCCCCCAAAAGAAATAAACCCCTGGTGGGAGAGGGCTGTGGAGTTGCCTCCTTTCCCCCAGCCTCCTACAGGGGGCTCAAACGCCTCCCCTGCTCTGCCTGCTGGCGTTGCACCAGCTGCGCTGTGCTGCTCCTCTCTGTTGCAGGAGCCTCAGCGCGTCTGGCGTGCTCTACGCCAGCGTGCTTCCTCTCCGCCTCTCCTGCCCCCCAGGTTCCAGTGGGGCTTTTAAATCTTCCCATGGTGGCTGGAATGGCTGCCGTGATTGGCTTAGCTGTTCCCTGCCCAGGGGGTCCCCCTGTGGATCTGGGGGTCCCGTATGGCTGATCGCCCAGCTGGGGGAATGCAGGGGGCACGGGGGGCCCTGGCGTGCTCCACCAGCAGACCCAGAAGTGAACCAGAAGTACTTCCAGTCCACTTCTAGGTTTGCCGCTGAGCACATGGAGGCCCCCCCCACTGCACTTCTGTGGGATGCTCCATGCACCCCAGTATCGCAATGATCACAAGCCATCCCCACTACCCCAAAGTATATAGAAAAAACATTTAAAGCTGTGTCTATGTCCAAATCGCTGATTCTCCAAATCAGCAGCAAATCTTCAGATTCGGATTTGGCTGAATTGAGTCAGGGACAGTGATCTGAATCAACTGATTGAATCACTATCCCTGATTCGAGCTGAATCCAAATTGAATAGGGCCTGCTTCGCACACTCCTAGAAAATAGGACTCCCCTTTGATCTACCAGAACAGCACTGGGGTGTCATGGGGAAGTGAGACTGGTAGTATTACCCTATCACTTCCATTACTATGTGTTTGATAGTAATAAAACATTCCCTCTTCCACCATCCCAGTCATGATTCCACACCTCAGATCCTCCCAGTTGCTTTCTCAGCCTTCTCGTATCTATCTGATTTAATCCCCTACCCTCATATTTCCCTTCTCTGCTCTTCCCTTTCATGTCTGTCTGTGCTGTCTTGCCCTCCTATTTGCCCTCACTACTCCTGTTAGAAGGCTGTCCCAGAACACTGCTTCTCTGACGGTTAGAAAAGCTCTTCTGATTTCCAGATTCAATATATTTATGGCTGGTTTATACCTCTTTATTCTGAAGTTAGCGTTGTCTTTTAACTTAAATGGTTCTTCTCTGGCACTGGTTTTTACACCAGCTGTATTTATACAAATCAGGCATGTCCCTCCTCAGTCTTCATTTTGCTGGACTAGCCAATGGAAAGCTCTTTTAGACAGAGCTCTAGTTAAAATCTGACAAGTTTTAAGATGGGGCATAGCCAACATACGTTGCCCAGAAGCTTCTGCTCATCTGATCGTCTATCATTCATACTTACACTTTACCATTTTATATTTTATCCAGAGACAGACAACAAAACTGCCTTGGAGCCTTCCCCACCCCCCTCCACCCCATCCTCACCATTTAGATTTCAGTTTGAAATAACAAATATTCCTGTTTTCCAGTATTTCTTTGAATTATGCTCCTAGAGTTGAAGGGGGAGCACTTAAGTAGTTTCCCAGGGAAATGCACTTTTTCCAATTGCTGTATTTATTGTATACAGCATGTACCTTTCCCCAAACAAGCTGTTGCAAGTTGGAGGAGCTCATATTATATGTAAGAAGTACAGTAAGAGCAGCTCTGCCTATAACTAGGTGAAATCGAAAGTAAAACCTGCAACGATTCACAGGGAGCGGAGCAGTGAGCAGGCTCAGCCCTCTGGTTGCTGCTACTTAGTTGCTTACTACAAAAAAAGGACTTTTCTTTCTTCATTTTCTCCTTCAAAAACAAAGTGTGTATTATAGTCCAGGGGGAAGGAGGTGTTGTATGCCAGAAAATATGGTAGATACCATTCTCTGCACTGTCCTGGTATACTGATGAATTTAAACATGCAGCCGACTCTAAGCTTTGGTGAAAGAACTAGCTTCAGTGGTCAGTCTTCCACAGGAGAGAAAAGCATGCAAAAAAACCTACTGATTAAAAGTGAAGAGTAAATTGAATGCTCAACATGTCTTCAGTCCTATCCTATGGGATGACAGTATCCTAGTTAAAGGAACGTGCACGTCTGGAAGATGGGGGTGAGGGTTGTAGGAGGTGCAGCTTGATGTCGTCTCAGGTCACCTCTGAATTTGCAGGTCCCTTAGTGCAACTCAGACACCCCTGAGCAGCTCTCACAGCATTGGCAGCTTCCCAGGGCTTCCCTCTGGGCTGCATTACACAGTACAGTGCACTGCAATCCCACTCCCATCCCCCAGTACTTTCCCTAGTTAACCCCTTATGCTAAGACTTGCACAAGGATCTTCAAAAGAGAGTCTTGGTCCTGTCTCTCACTGTGCCTCTATCAAGAAAATTCTCCTCCAGCCAGAATGAGGACACTGAGCCACTCTAGGGTAAAGGGACTGAAGCAGGGCTCAGCTTTCAACAGAGGATTTAAAAGCTGCCTTGTCCCTTTAAACAGCAAGGCCCATTCAGAGTCAATATTGCACTCCACTTTGTTCTGCCACTTCCGTCATCATCATCATCCCAGACACTGGGGGCTGACGTTGGTTCATAGATCCATGTCACACCCCCCTACCCCCAGCTGTTCCTGCTGCTACTACAGTGCACGTGCCCCCTAAATCAGTGCTAGACCGGCTGTCCCTCTTGTCTGCCCCTAGCTACACTACTGGCTTTGCACTCTCTGAGCACTGGTGCAGACAGCTGTAAAAGATGAAGAGCAAAGCTGAATCCAGCCTGGAGTTTGTCCTTGCAATTCTTTTGCAGGATGCCTGGCAAAGAGGGAGCAGCCAGAGCGGCTCTGGTTGAGGAAGCGCTCGCACTCCTTTCACTTACTTCCTGCTTTCGCTCACTTCCTTCCTTCCTTCCCAGTGTAATTACCAACATTGCACATAGTCTCTTGGTAATTTCCCAGTTGTGTTGCAAGGTTTTTTTCTTGTCAGTGCCCACTTATCAAGCTTAAACTCTAATTATACTTATCAGTGCTGAAAATTGGCTATTATCACTACTTAAACTCCTGCTAATTGTAAGAAATACTTTCTTAGCAAACTGTGAGATCATTTTATTTGCTATCTAGGTGGGATGAGCTCTGCTTGATAGCTGGCTTTTCCCCACTGAGACCCCCTCCTCTCTTTTCATCTGCATGGGCCATTCTAGGGGTGAGCAAGGTGGTGACTGTGGACATAAAAGGAAATTGGCAGCGCTGGTTAAAAGTCCGAGATCTCGTCAAGGGAGTGACCTATTTGTTTCGAGTGCAAGCCAGGACCATCACCTATGGACCCGAGTTGCAAGCCAACATCACAGCTGGGCCAGCAAAGGGTAAGTTGGACCTTAGGAGCATCAGCAGAGCAGATCAAATTGTATTAACAAAGTCCAACGGCAGGCAGTAACGCACGGTGTACTCCACATATGTTCCCCATCCGAAGGAAAGCTGTGTCACGAGGGCTCTGGTCATGACGTAGATGGTTTTGCAGCTGTCTATGGGTAGGCTTGTTCCTTCTCTGTGAAATCCAGGAATACCTTCTGAAAAAGCCCGGTGGAAATGAACTATAGCACAGACTGACGAGCCAAAGGAATCAAAGCTATCACGACCCTGCCTGCCTGTAATTCTGATGGCACTGATCACACTTCCAATTCCAAGCGAGAAGAACTGCCCAAGTTGCTAGAGTTTCTGGGTGTAAAAGCAGTAAGAGTTGAGAATGGTTCCCATCTGTCTTTAGGCCTTGGCTGGTGCCTGTGGCTGTGTCTGCCCATGCACTCCCCTTATGCTGAAAGGAGGACAGCAGGCATAAAGTCAGGCTCCCTGGGTTTTGTCGGTTTGGAGACCAAGAGTTTTTAAAAGTATTTTTCTTGATAAACAGGTGATTCATGTTAATGGTTACAATTTACAGCTAGAAGGTTAAAGGCATTAAAATTACCTCTCTCTGCCCAGTACTCCATTAAGCGTCTTTCCGGTATTTGTTCACCATTCTCCTTTTGCCTTCCTGACCCCTCAATCAGCGACCCTCCATCAGTTCCTATTGTTCCCGTCCCTTGCACTCGTGCCTCCAGGAGTGCTGTCCCCAAAATAGATCCCGTTCCTCTAACAATGGAGCAATGATTTTTAATTTCATTGAAATCGCTTCTGTAGCGTGCAGCTGTGATGAAGATACCCTGCTGCTGCAGTTCATCTCATTGTCATGCCCAGAGCATAGACATTATAAATTGATAACCCTGCTGGATGTGCCAGTGACATGTTGAAGGAATGGACAGGCTGCTCTCTAAAATTCAGGGGATGTTGCTTTGCTGACTTGGTAAGCAGGATTATCAGTGATACCGTGTCAATGTTTGGAGGTTGTCAAAGTGACAGGTTTTTCCTTTGTTTAACTGACAGGGGTTTCTCTGCAAAACCTAGCAACTGATATTTTATTCTGTAGCGCTTGAACTAGAAGAAGGTATGAACCAGCAACCTGTTAAATGAGCTTATGCTGCTTAAGAGTTTGGCCAAAGCTTTTTTTTGTGTGCGTTTGTGTCTGTGTGCCTGCAGAAGTTACAAAGCCCAGCATGCTCATGTCCTACGCCCCCTTACGTTTCTATTCTGGTTTCATCCCTCAGGGTCTCCTGGTTCCCCTCAGGAAATTCAGGTTACAAAATCTGCTTCAGGACTGACTGTGCAGTGGACTGAGGGAGATTCAGGCGACAAACCGACAACTGGCTACATCATAGAGGCACGGCCATCAGGTAGGAACCGCAAAGAAAATATGCAGACTTGGAAAGCTTTGGTGACAGTCTGGTAGTCTACCCCACACTTACAGCCACAGCGTAGTGGTTTAAAAGAAGGCATTTGTCCACCAAATAAAGAGATGGGACTTCATGGAGGAAAATAAGAAAGATTAGAGCCCTCTCTTTCTTGGTATTGCTCAGTATTTTTATCCTAGTTCCTATTTTTGCCTTGCGTTACATGATGTTATACGGTGCTGTCAGATTTCCTCCTATTTAGGAATAGTCGCAGGGAATTGCCGTGACCGCTGTGGGGTTTTTCAAAACAACATCACCAGCAAAACCTGTGATTAAGGATCCACACTGGTTAATAATTTAAAATTACAAGTGTATACAGCTCCTTTCATGTGAAAGCACTCATAAAATGTATATTTGAGGATCATTGGCCTAGCACTGAAAAATATACCGTCTCCTGCTTCAGAACGCGGCAGCTACCTTGCATCAATAACGGTACGTGGCTCTTAGCAATAGGTCATGCAGAATAAGTTCTCCAGTTCACTCTATGCAGATATTTTAGGTGGGGTGCAGTATCATTATCAATTTGATTAATACAACAAAGTAAGTGTGTGGGAAGGGAAGGGAAGGGAAGGGAATCTTAGATGGCTACAAGGGGGCAAGTTCTCAATTTTATATACCTTCTGAAAGGTGTCGTCTTGCTAAATAATGCTGGCCATTAATGCAATGTCAGGGAAAGGAATGCCACAGACTAAAATGCCAGTGAAGGTTTTTTTCTTTGGCATCCTTCCGGTAACTGCTTAACTTCTGACCCAAGCAGTGAAGCAAACTGAGACCTATTTCATTTGGGAAGACGTTGAAAATGGACCCTGGTATCTTTGACGCAGTCCTGGCCATTTAAAAGAACATGCAATGTTGTGTGGACACAGAAGGAATCAAGCAACAGAAGAAGGCTGCTTTAGTCACAGTCCAAGGCAGCACTGAACCCAAAATGCCCTCTCTAAGCTTTTCTCACAGCTATTCTCCCAGTACCACTGCTTTTCCTGGACTTTCTGCCCCTCTCTCAAACATACAAAATGGCACAAAAAGTATCCAGTGAAATGCCTATAGTGACGGCATAGGTGGAACTGAACCCAGACCTTGTAAAGGACCAGCCCATGTTGTGAGACCCAGATGACCCCGTGGTTGAAGCTCATTAACTACAGGCAAATGGCACTTGAAAACAAATGAGGGGACTTCAGAATGAGGCCTGTATTCCACTTCCCTATTGCCTGCAGACAAGAAAATTGCGAGTGTCGGGCTGAAAAAACAACACAGTAGCACAGATGCATGATCAAAGGCTACCCAGCCACGCTGTTTGTTCTAAGGTTATTCTGTAATACTTCTGTATGCTGCCCCCTTCCCCAAGCCTTCCCACTGTAACCAGTAAAGTAATCAGTAAAGTTCTTCATTGTACCGAGAGTGGTGGACTTGTTGGAAGAGGCTGACTAAGAGAGGCTACTTTTTATAGTTCAGGCTAGAGGAAGCATACCAAGCTTTTGCAGCGGGTCAAACACCCTGAAGGACTACAAGGCCTGTGTACCTCAGGCAGCACAGGGCTCAGAAACAGTCCAGACGACTGGGTGGTGGCTACGGTACCCCCAGGCTTGCTGGTGTGCTTCAGGAGTGGGGTTGGCCAGACATGAGGTGCCGCCAGGGAGGCACTCGGAGCTTGGTAGGTGGTCGGGCATGGTGAGGTGGGTGGCTCAGTGCAGGAATGCCCACTATGGGCCTGCCACACTTGTAGACAGGAAAAACCCAAGCTCTGATCTGTTCCCCTGTGAAACTAGGGTTACCAGCTCTGACCAAATCTATTCCAGGAGATTATTTTTCCCCCGACATGATGTCATGTCATTAATTGTACTGTTCAACCTGTTCACAATATCAATCTGCTGGATTGCTTTTCAGTAGTCACCAGGAGATCGATGCTGATTCCAGTAGACTCCTGGCCAGTCCGGGAGGGTTGGCAGTCCTATGTGAAACACACCACGAGGCTTCTGTGTGGTGTGTAATTATATCGACTATGCACATAAGAATCTAAACTTACTTTTTCTTGAATCTGCTCGTGGCAATTAATGCATAGCTTTAGCTTATGTTCACAAGATATTCCATGCTGACGGTCCTGGCAGCCCTCTCGCCCACACTTGTGGCTGGATTCATTTGATTTCTGAATGCCCTTGGACAGACACAACAGCTTCCAAAGGAGTATGCCCATGTAACAGCTAACACTGCTCTGTGTGGCTACACTCCCAGGTTATCAGACACTCCTGGGCTTAGCTTACCACTTGATGCAAGTGAACATTTTACATACGCTGCCTAAAGATTTGTGGCACGTTGGCTCTTCGCAAGGGAAATGGAGTCTTCCCACACCGCACCGGAGCTGCATTATCCCAGCGTCATTCCTCCCAGCCCCACTCCACTGATCTTGCAAACAGTCTCTTGCCGCCCCTGCTCTCGAGACATGACTGTTGAGTCATTTAATTCCTTCTCCGATTATTTTAATCCTATTCATGCTGCTGTAGTAAATGAACTGGCTGTTTGCATGTTAGATTCCCAGTCTTAGTTCTGGTTGAAGCTGTAGAGAGCATGAAATGTGATCCAACTGAGGCGAGGGACTAATTGGAATGTTTGCTTATTTCATGCAAACTCCAGCTGCATTTAAATACCCCTTTTTCCCTCATCTTGGCATGCATGAGTTTGAAAACTGAATTCGGAGCCCAACGAAGGAAGGGAGTTAACTCCCCCTGATGGGGCTGGTCATTTTAGGACAGCTTTGGTTTTAACACAGCATTAACATGTGCTGGTTTATTGCTATGAAGTAGAACACCAGTTAGAGAGTGCAGAGAAGAGCCACGCGCACGATCAGAAAACAGACCTTACGATGACAGGCTGAGAGCCATGGGGCTCTTTAGCCTGGAAAAGCGCAGGCTCAGGGGTGATCTGCTGGCCACCTACAAGTTTATCGGGGAGACCACCAGGATCTGGGGGAACGTTTGTTCACCAGAGCGCCCCAAGGGATGACGAGGTCGAACAGTCATAAACTACTACAAAACCGTTTCAGGCTGGACATAAGGAAGAATTTCTTCACTGTCCGAGCCCCCAAGGTCTGGAACAGCCTGCCATCAGAGGTGGTTCAAGCACCTACATTGAACACCTTCAAGAGCAAATTGAATGCTTATCTTGCTGGGATTCTGTGACCCCAGCTGACTTCCTGCCCTTTGGGCGGGGGGCTGGACTCGATGATCTTCCGAGGTCCCTTCCAGCCCTAATGTCTATGAAAT